CAGATGCCTGTAAGTGATGAGTAGTGAGGTTGTTATAGTGGATAAAATCTGTTTTTGGGGTGGCCTGGGGGCAGAAACAGGTCTGGATCACAGTAAATCTGCAGCTGATTGTGGAGAGTCTGGAGCCTCCGGTTTTCTGCTGGAAACCCCAGGAGGTGTTGAGTTGTTCTGGGGTGAGATGCAAAGATACCATCTCTCAGATAAACATCTAACCAGAGGCGTTAGGGCTTTATATGAGAGAACACTAGCAGTTTCCACAGAAGTACTAGCTAAAAAAGGACCTGGAATAGTGTCAGAGTCAGTCATTTTTCCAAATCCTGGAGCTGTTCCCTGCATGTAGAACTGGGCAGACTGTGACTCTAAAAGGAAAAATCTACCTTTCTATAACCTCTTAATTCAATTAATTTGAATTTGGTTTCATCTATCTCGCACCAACTGATTGAACTTCTATTCACATCAAAATTACAGTCCAATTCAAGCCAATTATTCGGAAAACAATCCGAATCCATTCAGTTCAAATTCATTAGATTCCAAAAATTAGCTTTACACAGTAAAATACTAATTAGTTTGATATTTATATATATCTAGCTAAATTGTTTCAAAATAGTGTGAACACGTTCCTCTCCACATGAAAATAAATCTAGACGCAGCACTTTTTTTTTTGCTCCCATTTCTCCTGACCTGAACTCGGACATCTAGAACATTTGCTATAGACACAAAATAACCGTTTAGCTCAACAGTTGTTCACAAGTAGGAATGTCCCGATCCGGCCTATCAGAGCATGTATTAAAGTTTAAAGTAATTTATCTACTTACTTAGTTGTCAGACTCATGACATCCCTAACATACACTCAGCTTGTTAAGTTAATCAGATATTGAAATAGGACCAATGCTCTGTAGGCAGATGGAGGAGCAGTTTCAGAACAATGTCTTTGTTCTGATATTTATGTGGGGTTTGATATACCTGCACCAGGAAAATGAAAGACTTATGACACCCTTTACAATAATACAGAGAGAAAGGTGACAAGTTTTGGGATGGAAAGTAAAATAGGCAAGTGTCTCCAACCCAGAAATGGCCGTAGAACAAACATTATGCTTCCAGTTTTTTAGAAGATTAGACAATATTTGTGCAATATTTGTGGTATGTAGCATGAAATGGACACTCACAGAACAGTATATCAAACCATTTTCCCTAAAATCATTTGATAATAATAAAACACATTCGTGGTTTTCACATCAACGAAATAATGGTCATTAATATTTAGAAGTATCAATAGAAGAAATGATTCCAACTTCTCTCTTCTTTGACTTTGTGCGTATTCTTAATGTAGAAATTTTCCAGGGATTTTTCCCAGACTTCACTGGAAACTCATTATTGACATAAGAATAGTAGCAGGAGAAACTGTTCAGCCTGTGAGCCTTTACATAAAGATCGTTTGAATAAGTTTTGTTTTTTTATGATTAAAAAAAGCTCTCCAACAAGCAGGACTAAAGCTCAAATTATTTCCCCCTATTAGCTTTTTTCATTTGATTTCCAAAAGAGAATTTATTTCCTGGAAAAACTGACCAACAGCCAGCGTATAAGGGTCTAAGAAAATAAGTTTCCCCCTCAGATTTACTGTGCAAAGTCTCAATTTTTCACATTACAAATATTATGTAATCCTCCAGACTCTTTAAGAACGGCCTGAGAAGAGAAAGAGGAAAGAGGAGAAAAAAGAGATGTGAGCAGGAATGTAAAGAAGAGATTGATATCT